GCTTTCTTATACATCCATTCCTGCAGCATCCTACATCCTCCACTCACCTCTCCACCATCTCTGCATCCACTCCTGGGCTTTTCGGTTGTGATGGGACCTCCCACCATTGTACAGAGGACTTGATCTCCAGTTAGTTTCCCAATTCTACTCAGTCATCCTTCTGATCAGCTCTCTCTCTCAGTCTCCATAGCTCTTAATTCAGCCTTTTAAAATCAAAACATCCACACATCAATGAGCATCGTTCTTCATCTTGTTTCAAGTCTGAGATGGAAGCCACCATCTGACAACTCCCTTATTGTCCTACCTCCACACCTATACTACCCATACACACACCTGCATTTCCACCCATTCTCCTCTTTCTCTCTTACCATAACTATTTCCTTCCCAAAGGTAAACTAACCTGGACCTCATTCTCTACTACCTTCTATCCCCTAACCCCCCACCCCTTTGCATTAATTCTCATTAGCTTTTAAATCAGTTCAGATTTCTTTCCTCTTGAAAATCAGTCTATTAAATGCTTGACACTGTGCTATGGCCTTTTGTGTCTTCCTGCCACATTGCCACACTCCTCGAATGACATTGTCTCCACTTCCTCACCTCCTTTTCATGCTTATCTGTGCTTACCTGGCCTTACCACTGCATCCAAGTTGCCTCTCTCCTTGTTTACCCACCACTTCCTTAAAATTAAATCAAAAGGACCCTCCTCACTCCTTGTCATAGCCCTTATGTTAGAGGAACAGAGTACACAGAAATAAAAGCTCCCAATTGAAATGTTCTCCTTGCTGGTGATAGGAATGCTACCCTCTCCTGGTTTTCCTCTTGGATTTCTAGCCACTCCCTTTCTTCCTCTTTTGCCAATACCTTAAGTGTTGAGATGGCTCAGGATGCTCTCCTCCTGCCCTTACTCCACACCTTGTATAGTTAGCTCTCCCCAGGATTTCCTTGAACATCTGTACACTGACCACTTCCATGAATACATCTCCATGGAAAGACTCTGAACATCAGACCTCTCCAGTGAACCCCTTTGACTTCAGTGTTCCATGGGCCCCAAACACTCCAAAGTCAGAGTCATCATTTTTTTCGTATTCAATATCTATTCTTCATCCTGAGTCTTTGGCCTCTATGAGTGGCATTAACATATACCAAATATCCAACTCTCCTTACCCTAACCTCAAACCTCCTTCCCTTTTACCATCCACATCCAATGATTATGTCCCATCATTTTTATCCTATCCATCTGTTCGCAGACTACCGTGATGGCTTACAATTGTCTGGGTGACTGCAACTGGCTCTTAAGTCACGACTTTCACTCTTGCCCCTCCCCTGTCCTTCAATTCAGTACATGAGGTCACTCATCATTTCCCTGTAAGTTCTCAAGTCATTCAAACAAGGAGGGCACCTAGGATGCATCAGATGAATTCATAAAAAGTGTACTGGACTGCCCTTCCTGCATCCTTCCTACTCCCATCCACATCATACCCAGGGTCATGTTACTAGAGTGTGAGAGTATACAGAAATAAAAGCTGATAAAGATCTTGGGTTGGCTAAGGTGTATGGGAATTTTAATGGGCATATTCACATAGCCTGACAATCTGTTTTGCAAAAGTAGTAGTCTGACCGGAAGGCCATATTGCTTTTACACTCATTAAGAATGCCCCACTGTTTTAAAGACAAGTTCATGCATTTCAGAATGACTTATGAGGCCCTTCATGATCTTGGCTCCTGGTAGGGCATGAACGGTGTCCCTTCAAAACTGAAGCCCAGGCCTCAGTACCTCAGAGTGTGACCTTATTTGGAGATACAGTCTTCACAAAGGTGATCAGCTTAAAATGAAGTTATTAAGGTAAGCTCCAATCCAACAGGACTGTTGTCCTTAAAAACAGACACACATGGAAGGAAGAAGATGTGAAGATACAGGGAGAATGCTATGTGAACATGCAGACAGCCATCTACCAAGCAAAGAGAGGTGCCTGGAGTATAGCCTTCCCTCCCTGCCCTCAAAAGGGATCAACCTTGCTGATAACACGTTGATTTCAAACTCTCAACATCTAGAACCATGAGATAATAATTTCCTGTTGCTTAAGCCACCCGTTTGTCTGACTTTCTCATGTAGCCCTAGAAAGCAAAGGTAGCTCCCAGCGTTTTTCTCTCTTTCTTCCTACAGGTGCACCCCAGCACTCCTGCTCCTTTCTCTAGTCCAACTATCTTGACTATGCTAAATCCTTTTCTCTCCAGGCATGTGCACAGGCTGGCCCCTCTGCGCGGAATGCTCTTTTCCTTGGCTGTTTGGTGCCTCAACTCCTCTGTCATCAATATCTTGGTTTAGTGGTCTTCTGCAGGGAGGTCTTCCTGATTTGACTGCCTTCCCTCCCTGCCAAGACCAGATGTCTTTCTGGCAGCACATAACACCCACTTTTCAGACTGCGTATTATTTCCTATTTACTTGTCTCTGTCCAGTAGGTGACACATTTTTGAAAACAGGAATTAAGTAGTAGAAATCCATTTTTGCTTGTTCAGTATCCAGCCCCCACATGGTAATAGCACTTCAATTTCCCTTATAGAAACCTCACCTTCCCTACTGTTTGTCTATGAGATTCAAATGATCCTCTATAGCTCAGTGCAGAGCAGGGAATCCACAGTGAATGAATTTGCACCTCCTTCTCATGGCCACAGAGCTGGGGTCAGGGACAGTTGTGATCTGCCCAGACCACTGAGAGCCAGTGTGAGGAATCTGCTAAAACACAGGAATGAGAAACTCACCCATGTTGAAATTCCTGAACTTGGGAATGCTGGCCACTTCTTTGCTTGTACATGGGATGGGTCCACCAGAAAGCAAGACCAATGCGAGAGAAGGCAGAACCATGGTATAATGAAAAAATCAATCCTCATCTAAACTTGTATCTGAGATCCCCCCAGACCAGAGCTTATTAGTAATCATAGTTCTTCCCACCTCCTTATATATTCACCAATAAGAAAATGATGGACATAAATAAATTTAGGAAAGAAAAGCAGGTCTCTTAGGGAGGTATCACTCAGGGAGGCTATATATATCTTATAGGTTATCTTATGCCCAATTTATTTTATGTTTTGTTTAGTTTGCTCAGTTGCTTAATGGATAAAGATCTTGGGTTGGCTAAGGTGTATGGGAATTTTAATGGGCATATTCACATAGCTTGACAATCTGTTTTGCAAAATTAGTAGTATGACCAGAAGGCCATATTGCTTTTACACTCTCTGAAGCTTTTCTTTCAAGGGATGGAGGCTCACCATGGATATCTAATTTCTCCTTGCCCATAGCAAGTGCCGCTTCTATCCAGAAAAGCTTGTCATGATGACTGAAGAAAGAGGTAGAACAACAACAACAAAATGTTTTCTCCACTCTTCTCTTATTTACAAAGGGTTTCTGTATCTGGCCATCAAAACAAATCCTAAAATTCTGACAGGTGTTTTAAGTTACAGGAGATACAGACCTCCAAGTGATAGACAACTGCCCTTGGACCATGGAGAAAAAGATAAGAAACTTTGCATGGAAAATAGCTTTTAACCTAAAAGGCTTTCTTTCCCTTCTGGAAAAATGAAGACCCTTTTTATCATAGCTAAAAGTTTTCTAGTTTGAGGATTGGGAGATTCACATTGTCTTTGCTTCTGTGAAATGCAATCATGCAAAAAGTGCAGGCATGGTATGCAGTGCTTAATATCTGGGCTTTGGAGGAGGGCAAATAAAAAAATCTGACTATTGTCTCTGCCATGTTTTAAATTATGTAACCTTACACAATTTGCTTAGCCTCTCTGAGCCTCAGTGTTTTTTTCATTTGCAAAATGAGATTAATAATGGTACCACTTCATCAGGCTGTTGTGAAGATAAAAGGAAACAATGCTTGTAAACAGCACAGCACAGTTCCAGGGTCAAGAAAAAAAAAAGGTTGACATCTCTTTAAAATAAACATTTTATTTAAAAATATATGCTTTTTTTTTCTTTTTAAAAAAAGAACACATGCCAACTTTGGTACTTTAGCCATTGCTTCTTTGCTCTTTCCAGTAATCCACATTTTTTTCTGAATACACCACCACACAGGGGTTTGCAGACAACACATGCTTGCTCCTTTGTTCTTTACAAAGTGCCTCCTTGTATTTCATTGAGGGAGGATTTTAAGACCCAGCAATCGATTGCTGTCGTTCCTCACCACAAGACCATTGGAACTGAGCTCTGGGGAGCAGTGTGGGTCTTGTTCCTTTGGAAAACATTTTAAACAGCTTCTAGGATCCCCATATCTATACCCACTTTCCAAAAATACCTGGGAACAGTTCAGTCGTCTATAGAAAACACATCTTCCCAGTATCCATGAAGGGAGCATGTGGTTAAAATAAACACAAGAGAATTCCAGGGGTTTGTTTGCCTTAATCCACAGGGATTATCACTGAATCCTATAACTGGAAGGGAACTTACTCACATATTGTTGGAGCCAATGAATCTTAGCACAATATCCCTGGCTGATAACAACAAAAGTTTTTACAACCCCCTCCCTGGCTTTAAATTGCCACCCTCGCCCTCCAGACAGTCTCAGCCTAGCCAGGGCCATTGAATTACAACCTACCAACTCAGCGATATAGGACTATCTTGTCCCAGCACCTGGACTCTGTTAATAACATCTAATAAAGCATCAGCAATATCCGTATCTGCCCCACTGGTTTACAATTCGATTTATGGGGAAACTAAGACCCTAGACTCTTTCTACTCCAAGTTGGTTTCACTGTCTGCTGGTAAGCCATGCAAAATGAAAACCCTTTTCATCCTAGCTGAAAGGTTTCTATTTTGAGGATTGGGAGATTCCCAGTGTCCTTGCTTATAGCAAAGGCAACTCCTTACTCATTCAACGTTTGAACAATCTGTGCTGAATCAATCCAGTATTGGGTACCTCATGCTTTGCATGCAAGTAGGCATTAAATAATTATCCAATGGATGAGTAAATTTGATGTGGGAGTTTTCAGCCAGACTGCTCTAGAAGATTGAAGTTATAATAAATATTTTTTTAAAAAAGAACTATCTTGAATGCTTGGCTAGGTGCTATTCTTTTTTTTTTTTTCTCAGATTGGAAATCACTGTTTTTGAAAGGTGTAAGACTCTTACTTTACAGACCTTTGACAATTCAGGTGAAGGCTGACTTGCTTTCCACCAGTACAGGTGCAATCACTGGGTTGTTAAAAATGGCTTCTCATTTATGAGTTTTCGATGCAGTTTTCATAATGCAATATCTTAGCTGAACTAAGAGGTTCATGGATCAGTAAGATGGGCACTTTTTTTCTTTCCTCCTTCCCTTTTTTACTTCTCTCTTTCTTTTTTCCTTCTTTCCTCCATCCTTTCTCCTTCCTTCTTCCCTCCCCTGTTCATTCTCTTCTTCCTCCTCTTCCTCTCCCCCTCCATCTCTTTCCCTCTCAGTTTCATTTTAAGAGGCAGCGTCATTCCTAAATGAGAATAGGCTTACTGAGAGAGCTTGCACAAATACATTTTCTGATTCCATTAGGTAAGTATGAATCAAGTGGATTGTGACCAGATTGGGAATGGCTACAAAGGTCTGCATCTCTGCATCACCATGGTAGGTCCAGCACTCTTAAATTCACATGGTCATCTTCACCTTTAAAAGCATTAAGACACAAGAATGTGGTCACTTCTCTGTATACCTATTTTTAGTCATACCCAATTTGCCACCACAAAAGAGGACACACCCAAGAATTTAAAATAAAAATCCCCAATAAGAGACAGATGAATTAACATGAATTATTTGATTGGATGCAGCCATCTTCATCGCTTCCCACTCAAGCATCTCCAGTTTTCTCCTCCCAATTCCCTGACACAGGGTGCATATGGCATGTGCAGACTGTGGGAGGCGGTTAGACCAGTTATCTAGGGATCTGCTCTTTTAACTGTGTTAGTTTGTGGTAGCAAATAGGAGCCATTTTACCTTTTTGACTACCGTGAATCTTGTATTTCAGTCTTGAGGAATATGCGAAGACACAACCCAACGTAAAGGCACAGTCTAGCCAAGTACAGAGGTCTCCTAATCAGATCTCACCCCTCAGCTAGAAATTCCCAAAGAAAAAGAACCATTAACACTCAGACCAGGTCTTCAAGTCGGGATACCATGTGAGTTTGTTTTCCAAAAGGAAAGAAAGGGGGAAAATAACATACAAAAGTGGACCGAGCAGCAAGCTTCATCGAGACTCAAATAAAACATCATCATCTGAGGACTAAATGAATGTGTGGAATGTGTCAATAAGGTCTCTTTCTCATAGCTTCATCTTCATTGGGATTTTTTTCCCTCTAGATTTTTTTTTGTTGTTCTGATAACTGACATACAAGCAAACTAATAAAATTTATCATGCAGATCTTCTCAAGCACAATGCAGATCAAGGAATGTAAGATGATTTTCATGTTGTTTTTATGGACTCTTCTACAAAAGACTGTTACCATCCGCAGCTGCTAATGGCAAAGCCGTTCTGTCTTTTCACATCCATATTCGTTGGCAAGAGGAGCTTGTTCATGGTCAGCAAGTGGCTATGAGTCACTGGGTTGGAGCCCTTAGTCATACACAGAGCGGCAACGTGTAGTCTGGTTAATTAACAGGAACACGTAGTGAGAAAGGCCAGGTATCATTCACAGCAGATTGAGGGTTAAAGGCTTCCGGTATGGAACTCTGTAATACCGCTTTCAAGATACATGCACACACACAAACACACACGTGTATGCATATATATGTGTGTGCATGTGCACACACATATAACAGTCTCAGCCTACAAATGTATAGAGCAAGATGTGTGTGTTATGTGTGTGTGTGTGTGTATCCTCCACCCCAAATAAGATCTGGCAGCTTTCAGAGTAGCAGTCACCCAAAACACTCTGTGTTCACACGGTTTTTACAAGTTAACAATGGAATGACTTCTAAATCTTTGGTTTAGAAGAAACCAAAATGAGAACTTTTTAACATCACAACATTGATTATGTTCTCTATAAGTGCACAGTGAACAACATATTTTTTTTTTTTACAAAAGAAGAAAACAGTGACTTAGTGACTTAAATTAAAAAAAAATAAAACAGCAATAGCTACTTTCTACAGCATGCAACATTATAAAATGGTGAACTGGAGCCACTGTGAGCCTTAGAGAGACTGTCCTGCAAATGGAGTTTTTTATTTTTCTTTCTTTTTTTTTTTTTTTCCCAACTGCCTTCCAAAGCACAAGAGGTAATGAGGAATGCTCATTATCGACCATGGTCTTTTGTTCCTTCCATTGCTTTCAATGTGCAATTGTGCTTTCTTTCAGAAACCCAGACCTGAAACACTCTCTCCTGTAAATATCATCCAGACTTATCTTTACAATATAAATGATTTCCAATTTTCCCAGAGCAACCCAAATCGAAGATTGCTTGTGAATCAAATGAGAGTAAGAGTGAGCTTTGTGACCCATGGGCCAAGTCACCAGTTTCTTCCTAAGGAAATTCTTGGCACTTCCTTTGGCAGCAAACTGTGCAAGAGAATGGGTTCTGCAGGAGAACCTGGACTTTTAACCTTCTAAAACATGGCTTTATTAGGAGTGTGGAGCTTGTGAGAGCGGAGACATCCTCTCCTCCCAATATTGGGCCAAAAAAAAAAAAAAAAGAGAGAGAGAGATCTTCAAAAAGAGGAGTAAGAAAAGGTTGATATCTTGAAAGATAAATGGAGTGGGAGAAAGATAAACTGAGGTGGACCCCCCTTCCCATCATAAGAACCAGAACAAGAACAACACAACAACAACAACAACAATAACAAGTTGGACCTCTATGAGAACAGTCCTGTAATAGCAATCCATGGTATGCATTCCTAGGAGGTGTGAAGAATGCTGTTTTCTGTCTAAATTATCCCTGATAATGGCTTCCTGGGTCTAGAGATACCTTTCTGCCTGCCTATCTCTAGCTTTTGGAACTAAAGGGGTTTATGTGGAAGAATCTGAGAAATCTTCTTCCATGGTCTTCTTGCTTTAAAGTTCTCACCTATTACACAATGCTTATTAGCACCCAGATGGTGGGAATGACTGGGTTACTGGCAGAAAAAGAAAAAGAAAAAAAAAAAAACAGGTCTAGATGGAATTCTCTGGACTCAGTGCAAGTTAGTTGTTTATCAGTGATCACACAGTCTAGGATTGGAACCACTCCAGTGGGGACAGTTTTGGGGGTGGAAGGACATTATGTTGATTTTGCTTTCCTGGGAATGGATTGGTTCTGTCCCTCTATTGCCTCCCTAACTGAGTTAGGACTCCCTAACTGAAGTTAGACCTTGTTGCTCTTTTGAAAGACAGACAATGGAGACGTAGGAAGCAGCCTCCACCATCCATATATCTTCCATAATCTTTTAAGGACTGGCTTCCTCATGCTCTCCAAAGACTTTTTTTTTTAATTAGTAATTCTAATAAATTCATGACAAAAGCTCACAGTATGAGCTTCTGCTCCAATAATGCCTGAGAAAAACTATGGGCTAGAAAAAATATTGGTATTCCAAAAGGCAGTGAAAAAAATATTTTTTTGCATCTGTACTCTGAAAATGCACATTTCTGAATGCACTGCTGAAATTATTAAACAGTTACTGAATGTTAGTAAATATAACATATATGTTTTTAAAAAAATGACTCCTGCTTATTTTGTCACAGAAGCTTCCATTGCTTCTTTTGGATTTTCTTCTTCTTTTTCTTCTAGATAAGGGAAGTACTTAAGGGTTGTGTGATAGATATCTCCCGCCATGGAATTCCTACTGGTCTTTCTGAGCGTTGGCATTCTACCACTGCTGTAAGTGAAGGTCCATGGGAGAATTCAGATTGAGATCTGTGACATCCAGGAAATCAATGTTGAAGATGCTGGGGCCGCTGGTGGCAAGGGAGCTAAAGCCTGGTGTGGAGCTGGGTGGAGTGAGGTCCAGCCACTCCATGGTTTCCCATGGAGATTCTGTGAAGCTTAACTGCAGCCCACTGCTGTCCACAGAAGAGGGTGAAAACTGTGTCTGCATGGGGGAGAGGGGGCCGGGCAAGATCTCGTGTGCATTGAAGAGGTCTTCTGCAGCCTTTCCGGAGAAGCCATCCATGATCCCATCGAAAGCAGGCTCCTCGTTCCCGATTTTGAGAAGGGCGACGTCGCTCATCTTTCCTAAGGGGCTGTGGGGATTTAATAAGACTTCCAGGTGCTCCTCGCTGTCGGCAGCGTAGTGATCAAAGGAGAGCTGTCCTCCTGAAGAGGCTGGTTCACAGGAGGCCGAAGGCTTGGGAAGGACCACAGCAGGACTTCGGGAAGGCCCCGGTATCTTTGGGACTTTTTGAAGACATGAGTGATCCTCTCTGGCATCGGCGGGCATTTCTGTTGGCAAAACACAATGCAAATTGTTATTCCGCACGGCATACAATGTGATAGGTGATGCCTACTTCTCTGATCATTATTCCCCTCCTCTTACCATTCTTCAGCAGTTTTGAGGGGTTCACCCCTCTCCACAGGCTCAGCCTCTTGACCACCCCTCTTCATCTGCTTTGATGCCTCTAAACCCTGATCCCCAGCCTTTGTGCCACTTCTGTGTCTCTCGTTCTCTGTCACTGCAGCATCTGTCCATCCTAGTCTCTCAGTTCCTTGTCTGTCCCCTCAGTGATGCCTGTGTCCCCCAACCGTTACACACATCTTGGATCTTGCCCCCAAACAATGCATCCCTCTGAAAGTTCTATTTCAAGCAAAAATTTCCCACTCTCTGTCCCTCCTGCCTCAACTCTTCCGCTCACTTATTAAGTACCCCGGGACAAAAATTGTGTTGAGTGACTCCAATCTGCTGACCACCATTTAATCCCTGTCCATCAGCCCTTCATGCATCATACCCTTCATATTATCTGATCCATCGTGATAGTTACTTTTGTCCAATACCCTCAACCTCCTCTCTTCTGACTTTTTACCATACTAACCTAGCATACTAACGTTAAGACTGGATTAGCCTTACCATTGGCTTTCCCTGAATCGCCTGGATGTTTGAATAGAAGAAAAAAAAAATTACACAACTAAGCCGATTAGTTTTATTTTGAATTCACAGTCTTAAGCCCACCGTTAGCATTTACACGGCCTAACACTCTGCCCATGTTTCTCTAGTAAACCCGACTCGTTCATGATTAACTGGAGACTGTTCATTCCTTGCCTGTCCCATGCGACTCCTTCTGCACCCACATTCTTGGGTGACCTTGCCACCTACATCATTTAAAAAAGGGGTGTCTGAGGGTTGGAGGTGTAGCTCGATAGTAAAGTGTTTAGCTAGCATGGTGAGACCCTAGATTCCACCCCCAACTCCAAAAAAAAATGTACTGATCACAAAAAGGGAGGGGGGCTTCTGACATGAACTCTCTCTCATCTTTCCATCATATGCATATACACACCAGCACATGCACATCTCTTTCATCTTCTTTCTTGTCCCAATAGGAAATATATTTTCACTTGTTATCCACCCCATAGAGGAAGAGACTTTGTCTAGTGTAGAACCGACCCTTAGCATGGTGCCTAGCCACTCCTTCTCTGCGTACTCTCGAGCTTTCATGCAATTGATTCAGGGTTTCAGCTCTGAACTTCTCTTTACACCTACACATAATCTCTTTGGGTCCTCCTATTCATTTTTTTTGTGTGTGTGTTTTTAAATGCGAGGTGCGTACTTCATAATGTTTTTAAATCCATAAATGAACGAGTTGAAATGAGGCAAAAAGAACAGGATGATTATTTTTTATTGTTAACCTGAATAACATTTAAGCATGAATGGGACCATCCAGGGGAAGATTACTAATTGAATTTCACTTTGAGTAGGTAGCACAAAACTTTCACGATCGGCTTGGTTCTTTTTCCCCTTATCGTTAAGAAGACAGGGGCATTGAGATCAGGACTGTAGAAAGAAATTATACGGCAAGAGAAAAACATTTAGGGAAAACAAAGATGGGGTTGAAAAGTGAAAACTTAAAACGATGACTGCAAAGTGTTCCTCGGAGGAAGGCAGAGAGGAATCATCCGCTAAACTTCTTTTATCTGCTCCAAAAGGGCACCCAAAGCTCAGAGGAAATGACTCTCTACCTGCAGCCCACCTGGTGCACCTGATTCAGTGTGCACTTGACCTTGGTCCTGGGCATTCTTTCTCTAGAGTTTAACATAGGTACAGAGGACCTTGATGGACAGGACACAAGGCAGTCTTACCTCCACTCTCAATGAGGACATCTAGGAGTTCATCCATCTGTTGACTCCGAGTCATTTGCTGTTGCAAATTAACCAAAGGAGAACGGGGCAATTAGAAGGCAATTTCACTTATGCAGAAAGGGGTGGCACTATAGGTTTTCAAACTAAATTTGGCTAAGTATTTATTAAAACAGTAATAAAATACAAATAATATATAATTTATAACCTAGAACATTTTAAGTGTACCATTCAATGACATTAAGCACATTCACATTTTTTGGCGGAGCGGGGGGCAACCATCATCATCATTCATCTCTGAGAACTCTTAATCTTACAAATCTAAAACTCTGTACTCATTAAGGAATAACTTCCCAGCCTGCCCCTCCCCTAGTCCCTAGCAACTAACCATTCTACCTTCTTACTCCATGAATTTGACTATTCTAGGTTCCTTATAGAAGTAAAATCAT